TTTGCAACGCCCCAGGTACCTTTCAGACAGAGATGCACCGCATCTTCAGGCCTTACCTGGACAAGTTCATGGTTGTCTACCTGGATGACATCCTGGTATTCAGCCGAACTGCCAAGGAACATGCGGAGCACTTGGCTCTAATTTTTCAGTCATTACGCGACAGCCACTATAAAATTAATAGAGAAAAGTCCTCTTTTGGAGTTCCCTCTGTCATCTATCTGGGTCACGTAATTTCTGGAGATGGTCTGGCTCCTGAAGCAGTCAAGTTGATATTCAAGAGTGGCCACAGCAGCAGACAGTGAGGGATGTCAGGTCCTTCATGGGTTTAGCCTCATACTACAAAAAGTTTGTCCGAAACTTTTCTGCAGTGGCTGCACCCCTGACCAACCTAACAAAGAAAGACACTCTTTTTCTTTGGTCCCCTCCCTGTCAGTTGGCCTTCACACGACTCAAGAAGGCCTTGACTCGTGCACCAGTGTTGAAGTTGTCTGACCCCACTCTACCATTCATCCTGACCACTGACGCCAGTCAGTATGGCATTGGGGCAGTTCTTCAACAAGATGATGGGAATGGTCTACGGCCAATAAAGTTTATGAGTAAGAAGATGAAGACTCGAAAGTTTCAAGACTACCTACGAGAAAGAGTTGTATGCTCTTGTCTGTGCCCTGAAACATTGGAAGCACTTTCTCCTGGGAAGACACTTCAAGATTTTTTCAGTCATTCCACCTTACAGTGGATGAAGTTCCAGGGAGAGTTAAATGATAAGTTGGCACGATACATTCAGTTCATAGACATGTTTCGCTTTGAACTGAAGCATAAGAAGGGTTGCTACAATAAGGTAGCAGATGCCCTCTCTCGTAGGCCTGACTCTTTTACACTGATCTTCTCGACTCACTCCTTTGGAGAGGAGACCCGTCAGACCATTGCTCGTCTTCTGCCTTATGGACCCATAGTCAGGAATCTGCAAGCGCATCCCAATTTTGAACCCAGCTATGCCCAGAGTTCAAGCTTGTTGTATACCTACAACAGAGGTGAGGAACGTTTGTGCATTCCCCAGGATCAGCGGCTCAGGACACTACTGATGTCAGAGTGTCATGATGTCGGTGGACATTTTGGGTTCTTGAAGTTATATGCAGCCCCGTCGCAGCGCTTCTTCTGGAAGAAGATGCGAAATAATATGTTGCGCTATGTGGAAACTTGTGAGCTTTGTCAGAGGAACAAGGTCCACCGTAGGCCTCCTCTGGGACTACTCAAACCCTTACCCACACCTGATGGCCCTGCTGAATCTGTGTCGATTGATTTCACAGATTTAGGCAAGACCACCCCTCATGGCATGCGTCAGGTAATGGTCCGCGTGGACAGGTTCTCCAAATACGCAGAGTTCATCCCCTTGCCAGAGGTAGCTAGAGTCCCGGTTGTGAAAGTAACCTTTTCAGAGAGGTGGGTGTCACACACCATGGACCACCCACTTCTATAGTCAGTGATAGAGACCCCCGATTTTGTAGCGATGAGTGGCAGTCCTACTGTAAGGACTACTTGCACTCACAATTGGACATGACCTCTGGTCATCATCTTGAAGCCAATGGTCAGGCTAAAGCGATGAACCGAGTCTTATTCCAATTGCTGCGTTCTGTCATCTCTCCAGATCAGCAGGACTGGGATCTCCACTTGGCTCGAGCACAGCTTGTTTATAACATGTTTGTCCATTCCTCGACTGGGTTCAGTCCATACCGGTTGCACTGGGGACGTGAACCACGACAGCCTCTCGATAATATCATCGATAAGGCTAAGTCAGACTTGACGCCAGGCACCACAGAGTTCACCAGACGCTACCGCATAGATGTGGAAAGAGCACGGGCGAACTTGTTCAAAGCCCAAAAGGCAATGATTGAGCAAGCTAACCGCCACAGGCGGCCTTCCCCCATCCGCACTGGTGATTATGTTTGGGTAGCCAGTTCTGAGTTGTCAAGGGAGGAGGATATCTCCCCCAAATTGTTGCCTCGTTATTTGGGTCCATGGCAGGTCTTAGATATAGTGGGCGATGATCCATTTGGCCCATCCTATGTCATCAACGTTCCGCTGCATCTATGAACATACCCAGTCTTCCATGCATCTAAGTTGCTTCCATTCACCCCAGCTGATGCATTCCCAGACCGGCCCCCGCAATTTGGTCCACCGATCCCTGACAAGGGGTATGACGTGGAATGGATTGAGGATGAGTGGGGCACAGGCCCCGATCGGCAGTATCTTGTGAGGTTCGCTTTCCAGCCTCCTAGTGAGAACAGATGGTTCTACAGAAAGGAACTTCTCAAAACAGCAAAGTCAATTGTTCTGCGATATGAAGCGGCTCAGAAGGGCAACCTTCCTCGCCGTTCACCTCGTCTGCATCCCTAGCTCGGAGGTCCTCGCTCCCCGGGGGGGTAAGACTGCAATGACTCGCTCGTTTCTGTTGCCATGATTGACTGCGAGGCTGTAAAGTGCACTGCTGTGTTTGCTGTGTGTTTTGCTGTGTTTTTGTTTTTGGCCGCACTGAGGGCCGCCCGCTGTTCTAAAAATAGTCTGAATTAACAGCAGCAGAGGCTGAGTAGTTATCGGCCCTAAGTGGCCTTGAGCCCTAAGTGCAGCAGTAGGACCGATTTCGTAGAGGCCGAACAGGCCCTATGTGAAACGGTACCGGTAGGTCCTAGGCTAGGGTAGTGTAGAATCTACAAGTAGGTTGAGGTAGGACTGTGCGGGACTTTTGGTTGTTCATTCTCGCGAAACGGTGTTTGGAGAAGCCAGGCAAGTTGGCGGTGGTAACTGTCTGCAGGCGGCATCCTAAGACCTTTGCCGTGGACGGCAGCCATAGCCGGGCCTTCTGAAGGTTGCCGGAGCTGGGGCATCCTCAGCGCATCTACCCCTGAGGGTATCTGCGTCTGGCCAGGCTATATCGAGGCTCTCCACTGAGTGTGTGTGGGTGGCGATAGCCATAGCTGCCTGTTTCTTCGTCAGAGTTGTCCATTGGCACTGAAGACTCCATCGCAGGATCTGTTCTTCATCTGGGTGGTTGGCGCTGGCCTCTGGGAGGCTGTTTCGGTTGTGCGCTACTAACTGGGTGTAGGGTAGAGAGTGGAGTGTGGGTCTGAGTGTGGCTAGATACTGGAACAAACTCTGCAACGATATCTGGTTTTAATTGGCTCTTCATCAGTGTGAATTCCAATTGTTATCCTCGCAGGTTTCTTCTTGTGATTGGTTGTTGGGAGTTTGTCAGAGAGTGAGAAACACGCAGTGTTCTCTCCCCATCTGTGCATGGCTGAACTTTCGCTGTTTACTCTGATCTGTGTACAGTTGGACTMTGTCTCCTCTCCCCCTTCTCTTATGCATGTATGGGCGTGTATGAGACCGTCTGTGTGTGAGTGGCGATAAAAATCGTCAGACAACCAAGTTCATAACACATGCGCGACCTCACATAAATTGAATTTTTTTTTTTTTTTTTTTCAACCTGTGTGTGTGCGTAGGTGTCCAGTAGGTGTTGTCAAGTTTGCTATACACACAGAAGGGGAATGCCAGGTGTGAGTTACTCTGCTCGTGCCCGCCCCCCCTCAGCCCCCTACCAATACCCTGTGCAGCGAGCAAGCTGTCTGCCTGTTGTCATGTTCGCTAAACACCAATCTGTGTGTAGGTGTAGGTGTGTGTGTTTCTTCGTGTGTGTGTGTGTGTGTTTCTTCGTGTGTGTGTGTGTGTGTGTGTGTTTCTGTGTGTGTGCGTAGGTGTCCGGTAGGTGTTGTCAAGTTTGCTATACACACAGAAGGGGAATGCCAGGTGTGAGTTACTCTGCTCGTGCCCCCCCCCCCTCAGCCCCCTACCAATACCCTGTGCAGCGAGCAAGACGCACGGTCTGCCGTCTGCACCACGTGGCACCACCATGCCAGGTGGCACTGCCCTACAGTTGGTTCCGTTCTTGACACGATGCGACACTTCTGCGCACGGGAGTTTGGAGGGCTAGCTTGAGAACTCGCCAGCAGGCTCAGCTATGCCACGTGGCACGTCCTCCTTTGTGCGGAAGTTTGGTGGGTGAGTGTTTTGAGAACGTGCCACGTGGCGTTCCCCGGCTATGTGTGGGAGTTGGGCCGTGAAACAAGTAAAAGTTTGGCGGGTGAGTGGTTTCAGAAGGTGCCACGTGGCGTTCCCCTTCTTTACGCCGGAGTTTGGCGGGAAAAAAAAGAAGTTGGGCAGGTGAGTGGTTTGAGAACGTGCCACGTGGTGCCGCCAGGCTATGTGCAGGAGTTCGGCGGGTGAGTGGTCTGAGAACGTGCCACGTGGCACGCTGGGGCATTGATGCCCATCAGCACAACGAAGGCGTAGGACTGCGGCGCGACTTCGAGCGCCGTCGATCCATCCACCATCCTCGGAGTCAATGGCGGGAGATCATCATCACCGAAGGACAGTTTGAGAGGAGAGCCATTCAGGAGGACTAACTTGCTTCCTAACGAGTTGTTAGGAGCTGTGAGGTGATACTCCTCCCTCCTCACCCTCATCATCGTCCTCCTCCTCATCATCAGCATCGTCCTGCTCCTCCTCATCATTGTCCTCCTCCTCCTCCTCCTCCTCCTCATCCCATCCCTGCTCCCAATATGAGTAACAGGGATGTCGCTATCACCGCTCTCATACACATTCTCGGTGATGTAGGTCAATCATGGGCATAATCGGATTAGAGGATAATGATGATGATAACGGTGATGATGATGATGATGATGATGGCAAGGATGACATTCTTTCCCTGATGTCGATCGGAAGTGGACCAGGTTCATCTGTATCTGAATTACGCCGTTGATGTGGAGATGGTGGTTTCCGAGGACAGCCTTCATGGATCTGTTTCGGGGTATGAGAGGGTGACCGTCGAGATGGCGATTTCCGAGGAGAGCCTTCATGGATCTGTTTCGGGGTATGAGAGGGTGACCGTCGAGATGGCGATTTCCGAGGAGAGCCTTCACGGATCTGTTTCGGGGTATGAGAGGGTGACCGTCCCATTTCATGTCCTTGATCAATGTCACCCTGATGGCTGTAGATTACGTCTGCCGGCCGATCAGGGTTTAAGAAGGCTCCAACCTCCTCCTCCTCCTCCTCCTCCTCATCCTCCTCCTTCCCCCTTTCCTCTGCTTTGTCGTTTTCCTCCTCTTTGTCGTGATGGGATAGATGACGTCTGCCGGCCGATCAGGGTTTAAAAAGGCTCCAAGTACCTCCCCCTCCTCCTTATCCTCCTCCTCCTCCTCCTCCTCCTCCTCCCCCTCCTCCTCCTCGCTTTCCTCTGCTTTGTCGTCTTCCTCCTCTTTGTTGTTTTCCGCGTTGGCGCCACTTCGATCGGACAACCGCTCCCAATCCTGCAGCTGCGAGTGTCCACTCGTGAGGAAGGAACGTCTGGTGGTCTCGTCTCGATCCCGGCTAGTCTCGTCTCGGTCCCCGCTTGTCTCGTCTCGATCCCGGCTAGTCTCCTCTCGGTCCCCGCATGTCTCGTCTCGATCCCAGCTGGTCTCGTCTCGATCCCAGCTGGTCTTGTCTCGATTCCAGCTGGTCTCGTCTCTACGACTGCTGGTCTCGTTTGGGTTCCCGATGGGCCCATTTCGGTTCCAGCTGGTCTCACTTCGGCTCCCGCTGGCCTCGTTTCGGCTCTCGATGGTGCCCTTTCGATTCCAGCTGCTGTTGTCTCGGCTCCAGCTGGTCCCGTTGTGATTCCAGATGGTCCCGTTTCAGTTCCAGCTGGTCTCGTCTTGGTTCCAGCTGGTCCACTCGAGCAAGATCCTGCAAGTGGCATTCGCGTGGTAGTTTATGAGGAGCAGGACGATCGCGTCCTCCATCGTACGATGGCAGTGAGCATAGGCTTTGAGGTCGTCAAAGCTCTTCCCTTTCCCTCCTCCCCCTCCTCCTCCTACTGCTCCTCCTCCACCTCCTCCCTCTCCTCCTGCTGTTCCTCCCGCTGTGTTTCCAGCGGACATGTCGGTGTTGGTCGCTGTCATCTCCATCGCTCGGGAGCTCTTGGCTATGGCGGTCATCGTGCGGACTGCGAGTGCTTGTGTCCCCATTAGTCTTCTCCAGAGAAGGGCAGCGTAATAGTCGGGATTGGGATCGAACGTTCCGACTTCCAACAGACCGTAATTGCCCCCGACGAGGGTCTGCCTGCAGAAGGCGTTGTGCCCATTCGCCGCCGTTGCAGCCGTGTAGTTCAAGTACCAGAAGGCGGACATGAAGGTGTCAGTGACTCCCGCTTGGCCGCTATTATAGGCGCCACCTGTCTCGCCTTGCCACAGCTGGGCCCAAGGGGCATTGGCCTTCACTTGAAAGCCGACAGCTTGAGCGCTGGCCGCCATAGCCGAGGCTTTGGCCGCGCTCATCACCTTCTCTGCCAGCTTGGGGTCGTTTCCAGCTCCGAGATCGTAGCTATGGTAGGAAACACCATCTATGATATCGGGGCTCGTCAGCGAAGCAAAGTCCACCAAAAACTTGGCGTCTTTCAAAAACTTGGCGTCTTTCAGGCAATCCGGGGCGATAAGAAGCGGTCTTCTTCTTACTCCTGCCTCTCCTCCTCCTCCTCCTTCCCCTCTCTTCCCTGTTTCTACTTTCCGTACGCTTCCTTCTTCTCCTATTTCTCCTCCTCCACCTCCTCCTCCTCCTCCTCCTCCTCCTCCTCCCTCTTTCTACTTCCTCTCCTCCACTCCCTCCTCCCCCTTCCCCTCCTCTTCTCCCTCGATTGTACCACGATTGTGAGCCTATCAGCTCCCTCCCTTCCTGCTGCCGCAGGGCGCTTAGCTGATGCACGATCGGGGTCCCGTTCCTCTTGGCCTCCTCCTCAGACGAGGTGTAGATTGGACCTCCACGAGGATCGGTCGGGCTCCCATCGTCGGTACTGTTTCTCACGCCCGGCCCACCTTCGGGCTCACCATCAGATCGGCTGTGATCATCGGACTTCGGCGAGCTCCATAGCTCGTTGATGAGCTCTCGCAGCCGTCTAACATCCTCAGCATACTGCTTTGCCGACACTTTGCTAACTATAGCTTGCCTCCCTGAGAGCTCATTTCCCAGCTCCCACGCCCATATCTCGTACCCCTGCCGCGACGTGTACTCCAGCAGCGACCGCGCATTGCTGGGATCCCAACTGCCTTCCGCTTTTCTTACACCAGGCCTCCTCCCCCACCGCTGCCGCTCCTGCTGCGCGCAGTCGCGACTGCAACCGTCCCGACCAGACAATGCGTTCAGCCCGAAGACCAGCTTGCAACCCGCCCTCTTGGAAAATGCGTTGATGTCATCCCAGCGTCTCTTGGTCAGGCACCCCTTGGTATAGCCCGAGCGATGGGAGGGATCCCTCTTAAGCTGAGGGCAGTTACGGCCATCCTCGTCGTCCCTCCCTCCTCCCTCCTTCCTCCCTCCCTTCTCCTCACCACCTCGCATGTCGTACACAATCCGGTCTTCCAACGTGCCTCCTATCCKAAGGACGAGAGGGGACAAGGCAGAGACGACCTTAAGCAGCCTCTTGGAGGACAGATCGAGATTCAGGATGGAGGCATTGCCCCAACTGCATCTCCCATAGCTACACTTATCAGGCGGCCACCAGTCGAGAGTCGCACAAAGGAAGTGGTCGCCCGTGACCGACTGAGGTCGCCCGACCTCCACCTGCAGCTCGAGAGCAACGACCACCTTCCCTCCACCTACCTTCCCCTCCTTCAGGCCATCTCCACCATTCCCATCTTGTCTCTGCCATAGCTCTCTTCTTCCTCCTCCTCGTCCTCCTCCTCCTCCTCCTCCTCTTCCTCTCCGAGAGGTATCCAGATGATAATGACCGTTCCCATACTCATTGTCGACACGAACTTCGTGGTTGTCTTCACCAACCCCGCTGCTTCAGGACCTTTCCTCCTCCTCCTCCTCCTCCTCCTCGTCGTCATCCTCCTTTCCACCTCCACGTCCATCTCTCACATCCCAGTTCGATGATTGTCCGCGTGTCATGGTCCACGCGGATCCACGTGGATTGTCGTTCTTTATGTTATCCTCTGAGTCATCGTTATCTTCATCCTTGTCCTCATTTGAATTCCACGTGAACGGACGTGGACCGTCGATCGCTCGCGGAAGGACGACGATTGCCTTCTCCTTCTTCGGCGTCACCCCCCTCCTCCACCTCTTGGTGTGCTTAGAGTCATTCTCCACCAAGAGATTATGATCGCCCTTGACATCGCTCTTCAGGAAGAGATGCTGATTACCCTCCCCCTCTTGCCTCTGAAGAGCTTGAAGCTGACGCATTGCTTCGTCCCGTTTGCCACTGCAACGCCCACCATAGCCGGCCCTGCTGGTTACGGCAATGGATGGCCTGGCCCGGCTGGTTAAGATGCTATTCAAAGAGAGAAGCATCAAGCACACTAGAAACACGCAGAACCAGGCCCGCCATAGCCGCAGCTGAATGCAGACAGTGCACTGAGGGGCATACTGTACCCCACGTGCTCGGGTTGCGAAACCAATGCACGGCCCTCCCATACCTGTCCTCCTCCTCCTTCCCCTTGTCAAAGCCTCCATAGCCGCGACCGCGGCGACTGGGGCAGGCGCAAGGTGGTGGCGGCCCGGCGGAGCCATTGCCGCGGACGGATTGACTACCCCAAGAACGCCCATTCCGGTTCCCGTCGCCGCCGCCGCCGCGGTGGCAATCGCCGAATGATGATGATGAGGATGGTGATGATGCATGGGGACCTGGACACCGACTCCCCCTCCGCCGCCGTTGGACATGGCGGCGGCACTGACACTGTCTGGACCTAACCCCGCGCCCGCCGCGCTTGAGGTGCGCGCTGCCGCCTCCTCCATCAAGCTTCTTCCCGCCGCAGCCGGAAGAGTGTACCCCGTCGCCGCCGCCGCCGCCCCCCCGCCGCCATTGCCGCGGAAGACGCGGCTGCGCCCGTCGGCTTCGGGGGCGACGGCGCCGCCGTTGGAACCAGCAACGCGGAAGAAATCGCTGGAGCGGCGTTGCGCACCGCCGCTACGCGCGCATAAGCAGCCGCCGCCGCGGCTTCGAAGGACACCGCTCTCTCCTCCTGCTGCTGCTGCTGGCGATCCATCACGGCCGCCGCCACCATCTCCGCCGTCGCCGCCCCTCCCCCCCGATGATGATGATGTTGTTGCTGCTGCGCCGCCGCTGCCACAGCCGCCAGTGCTACGACCGAAGACAGCTGCTAAGACAGCTGCTGATGATAGTCATACCAATCTACCGCCGTCGACGTCACTGCTCCTGCTCGTCCTCCTCCACCTCCTCCTCCTCTCTCAACCCGCCCACTCATCAATGCCGCCTCCTCCCCCTCCGTCACCCCCAGCCTCTGCGGTCTTCCATACGTGCCATTACCACCATCATACCCCTGGCAAGACCCCCCTACTACCATTCCGCCACCTCCTCCCCTTTCGCCGCCGCCTACTCCTACTCCTCCCCCCCCTCCACCTACCAAATTCCCTTGCTGTTGATGTTGATGCTGCTGAATCAGCGATTCTATATCTATTCCCAGCCTTTTCAGGAATTCGTCTAAAGTTATCCCATCATACCCACCCACCCCTCCCCCTCTCCCATCCTCCACCGTCTGATCACCCCCCCCCCCCCCCCCCCCCCCCCCCCCCCCCCCCCCCCCCCGTGCTACTCCTCCCCCCCCCCCCACTATCGTTTCCCCCCGTCCTCTCGCTCCGCTGCTCTTCGTTGATTGCCGACAGATGACTGGCGCATCCGTTCTGCTTTCTATT